GCATCAGCATCAGCAGCAGCACCATCACCATCGTCATCATCATCATCATCATCAACATCAGCATCATCAGCATCATCATCAGCATCACCATCACCACCACCACCATCGACATCAGCATCACCACCATCACCACTAGCACCAACATCAGCATCATCGTTATCATCAGCATCAGCATCAAGAGCAGCATCAGCGACATCATCAGCATCATCAGCATCATCACCAGCACCATCACCACCATCATCATCATCATCACCAGCATCATCATCAGCATCATCAAAATCAGCAGCATCATCGTCAGCATCAAAACCAGGAGTATCGTCATAATCATCAGCATCAACATCATCATCATCCCCATCATCCACATCATCCCCATCATCATCAGCATCATCAGCTCAGCAGCATGTTCATCATCATCATCATCAGCAGCAGCCGCATCAACAACATCATCGACATCATCAGCAGCATCATCAGCAGCAACCTCGTCATAATCATCATCAGCATAATCATCAGCAGCATCATCATCAGCAGCATCCTCGTCATCATCATCATCAGCAGCCTCATCGCTATCAGCATGAGCATAAGCATCCTCATCAGCATCATCAGCATTACCAGCATCCTCGCCATCGTCGTCGGCATCATCATCCTTACTATCGTCGTCATCAACATCATCATCAGCGTCATCTGCATCACCATCATCAGCATCACCATCATAATCATCATGATCAGCATCATAAGCATCATCATCATAATCAGCATCAGCAGCATCATCATAATCGTCATCCTTATCATCATCATCGTCATCAGCATCCGACTCGTCCTCCTCCTTCTTCTCCTCCTCCTCCTCCTCGTCCCTCCTCCTTCTCTCCCCATCCTTCTCCTCCTCCTGCGTCCTCCACCCTCCTCATCCATCCTCCTCCTGCTTCTCCTCTCCTCCTCCTCTCCTCCTCCTCCTCTTCCTCCTCCTGATGTATTTGCTCTTCCTGGGCATGTACCTGGCGGAGATGGTGCAGGCAATGGGGGTAAAGGAGCTCAATTGCCGGTGCTTGGAGCAGGCAAGGGAAGCGGACCTCCCCAGCCGCTCGCAGTGGGAGCTCAACCTCAGTTGTCGGAAGAGGAGGCAGCGAAGCACCCATGTATTTTGCCACCAGGTACCTACCTCTTGTAGTTTTTGTTGGCCCCCCAGCCAGCCAGCCAGGAAACGCGCATCAACTCATCGTGGAAACGGTCAATGTGACAGCGTGGAGTTCGATCAAACCTTGGCTTGCTCGCACGGAGGCTCAGGTTGTCTTGGTCCAGGAGCATCGTCTTGAATCTCAGGATCTTTGCAACGAAGCGTCCCAGTGGTGCTTTAACAGCGGCTGGAGGAGCGTCTTCCTGAAGGCTGAAGCTGGACATGGTGGGGGACCTTCGGGAGGTGTGGCTATTCTGGTACGCAACTACATCGGTTTCAGACGCCCTGATTTTGGGTCCGATCTTTTTCCTGGTCGAGCGATTGCTGGTATCGTGGAGGTCCCGGGTGGACTACCTACTTTGATGGTTAGCGCTTACTTCGGTGATAGCGAGGGGTTGTCTCAGAAGAACCGTTCCATCCTGGCGTCCCTGGGGATTGCTGTTCATGGTTTCGGTAGCTCTTGGCTGATCGGCGCGGACTTCAACATGGTTCCGAGGGAGCTGCAGCAGAGTAGTTTTTCCCGGAAAGGGCATGGGCCCAGGGTTCTCTTTTAGTAGGTAAACCTGTCCCCCGGTGCCAACTTGAGGGAGGCCGGCGAATTTTTTCCCTGATAAATAACGAGGTCGAAGGAGGCCGGCGAATTAAAATTTGAGGAAGTCTCGAGCGAAACGCTTGTTTTTCAGAATTTCTTGAGGATGTCTCGAGCGAGGCGCTGGTTTTGCAGAGTTGAGGATGTCTCGAGCGAAACGCTTGCTCCGCAGAGTTTGCCGAGGATGTCTCGAGCGAAACGCTTGTTTTGCAGAGCCGACCGCGACGCGGAAAAGCGCCCCGCGCGAAGGAATTTCGATGATGTCTCGACTAATTCGTTTGTTCCCGGAAAGGGCATGAGCCCAGGGTTCTCTTTTAGTTGGTAAACCTAATCCCCCGGTGCCTGCTTGAGGGAGGCCGGCGAATTTTTTCCCTGATAAATAACGAGGTCGAAGGAGGCCGGCGAATTAAAATTTGAGGATGTCTCGAGCGAAACGCTTGTTTTTGAAATCCCGATCGATAAATCACAGGGTGCGGGCCACTTTTTCGTGTGTTGAGGATGTCTCGAGCGAAACGCTTGCTCCGCAGAGTTTGCCGAGGATGTCTCGAGCGAAACGCTTGTTTTGCAGAGCCGACCGCGACGCGGAAAAGCGCCCCGCGCGAAGGAATTTCGATGATGTCTCGACTAATTCCTTTGTTTTTGTACGATTTCCTGGAATTTTGGCAGGATGTCTCGAGCGAAATGCACGACCCCACCCTAGCACGACCATACCCCAGCACGACCACACCCCAGCACGACCAGACCCCAGCACGACCCCACCCCAGCACGACCCCACCCCAGCACGACCATACCCCAGCACGACCACACCCCAGCACGACCCGACCCCAGCACGACCCTACCCCAGCAAGACCACACCCCAGCACGACCACACCCCAGCACGACCTCACCACAGCACGACCACACCCCAGCACGACCAGCCCCACACGACCACGCCCCAGCACGACCACGCCCCAGCACGACCACCCCCCAGCACGACACCCCCCCAGCACGACCCCCCCACGACGCACGACCCCCACGACCACGACCACTCACGACCACGCACCCACACCCCAGCACGACGACCCAGCACGACCCCACCCCAGCACGACCACGCACCCAGCACGACCACACCCCAGCACGACCCGACCCCAGCACGACCCTACCCCAGCAAGACCACACCCCAGCACGACCACACCCCAGCACGACCTCACCACAGCACGACCACACCCCAGCACGACCACGCCCCAGCACGACCACGCCCCAGCACGACCACGCCCCAGCACAACCACCCCCCAGCACGACCACCCCCCCAGCACGACCACCCCCAGCACGACCACGCCCCAGCACGACCACCCCCCAGCACGACCACTCCCCAGCACGACCACACCCCAGCACGACCACACCCCAGCACGACCACGCACGACCAGCACGACCACACCCCAGCACGACCACACCCCAGCACGACCACACCCCAGCACGACCCCACCCCAGCACGACCCCACCCCAGCACGACCCCACCCTAGCAAGACCACACCCCAGCACGACCACACCCCAGCACGACCTCACCACAGCACGACCACACCCCAGCACGACCACGCCCCAGCACGACCACGCCCCAGCACGACCACGCCCCAGCACAACCACCCCCCAGCACGACCACCCCCCCAGCACGACCACCCCCAGCACGACCACCCCCCAGCACGACCACACCCCAGCACGACCACTCCCCAGCACGACCACACCGCCTTGGTTGAGTGGTTGCCTGTCGTCGTGGAATGTTTCGTGGGGTGTCTCGTGGAATGTTTCGCGGGGTGTCTCGTGGAATGTTTCGTGAGGTGTCTCGCGGAATGTTTCGTGAGGTGTCTCGTGGGATGTTTCGTGAGGTGTCTCGTGGGATGTTTCGTGAGGTGTTGCCCCGTTGGGTATCGTGAAAACGTGCCCATGCTCCACATGTCTATATCCCTTTCCGGGTTCGTGGGTCCATCATGTTTTTGTACGATTTCCTGGAATTTTGGCAGGATGTCTCGAGCGAAATGCACGACCCCACCCTAGCACGACCATACCCCAGCACGACCACACCCCAGCACGACCAGACCCCAGCACGACCCCACCCCAGCACGACCCCACCCCAGCACGACCATACCCCAGCACGACCACACCCCAGCACGACCCGACCCCAGCACGACCCTACCCCAGCAAGACCACACCCCAGCACGACCACACCCCAGCACGACCTCACCACAGCACGACCACACCCCAGCACGACCACGCCCCAGCACGACCACGCCCCAGCACGACCACGCCCCAGCACGACCACACCCCAGCACGACCACACCCCAGCACGACCACCCCCCAGCACGACCACCCCCCAGCACGACCCGATCGATAAATCACAGGGTGCGGACCACCCCAGCACGACCACACCCCAGCACGACCCCACCCCAGCACGACCCCACCCCAGCACGACCACGCCCCAGCACGACCACACCCCAGCACGACCACACCCCAGCACGACCACACCCCAGCACGACCCCACCCCAGCACGACCCCACCCTAGCACGACCACACCCCAGCACGACCACACCCCAGCACGACCACACCCCAGCACGACCCCACCCCAGCACGACCCCACCACAGCACGACCACGCACGACCACACCCCAGCACGACCACACCCCAGCACGACCCCACCCCAGCAAGACCACACCCAGCACGACCACACCCCAGCACGACCTCACCACAGCACGACCACACCCCAGCACGACCACGCCCCAGCACGACCACGCCCCAGCACGACCACGCCCCAGCACGACCACCCCCCAGCACGACCACCCCCCTAGCACGACCACCCCCCAGCACGACCACCCCCCAGCACGACCACACCCCAGCACGACCACACCCCAACACGACCATACTCCAGCACGACCACACCCCAGCACGACCACACCCAGTCGCACCCCCGTGGAATGTTTCGTGGGGTGTCTGGTTGAGTGGTTGCCTGTTCGTGGGGTGTCTCGTGGAATGTTTCACGGGGTGTCTCGTGGAATGTTTCGTGAGGTGTCTCGTGGGTTGTTTCGTGAGGTGTCTCCTGGGATGTTTCGCGGGGTGTCTCGTGGGATGTTTCGTGAGGTGTCGCCCAGTTGGATATCGTGAAAACGTGACCATGCTGCACATGTCTATATCCCTTTCCGGGTTCGTGGGTCCATCATGTTTCGAGCGCATCGCTTGCAATGTCGTGGCCCCCGAGGCCGACACCTGGCAGGCGAGCGGAAAGTCCAGCAAGATTGACTATCTTATTATCTCGGCAGGTTTTGGCAAGTGCGTGGAATCAGTAGGGTTTCAGACCACCTCTGACATTAAGACCCACGCCCCCGTTCGAGTGAAGTGTTTCGGGAATGTGGCGTCTTTGCAGGCGCTCAGCTTCATGAAGCCTCCAAAAATCCCAGTTGAGCAGCCTGTGGGGCCCGCTTGCCAAACCAGGTCGGCATATCAGGTGTTAGACTGTGCGTGCAGAGGCTTGGAGATGCTGCAGGACAGGCCGAAGAGAGGATTGGTTCAGAAGCACTTGAACACTCTTTATCAGGAGTGGGCCGACCTCGCCGAGATCGAGGTTGCCGCGAGCCGTCGCATCACCCTCCACCGGTATGGCGCTCCGGGCAAGCTACCCAGGCTCATGTGGGTCTCTGTGGCAGACATGGACACTAACCGGAACCAGGTGCTGGACCCCTCCCTCTTTTCTTTTAGGTGGTTGGCGAGAACGTTTAGGGCATGTCTGGCTGACTTGGAGGCCTATGGAGCTCTTGGGCAACAGGGTCACTGCATCTTGGATCCTCCTCTGGACATCTCTGAGCATCTCGATGGTTGTCACGATCAGTACCTTCGGGTTGGCTCTTTTCTCCAGGGCGGCCTCATTCATGGATCTTGGGACCTCCATGTAGGGCTCGAGCTTTTGGGCGAACTTGACGATGCTCTTCGGGTTTACGCTGCTACGGCCAGGCTCCGGGGCTTGAAACATTGGCAGGCCTGGCTGCTAGACGGTATTACCAAAGAAGGCAGGCGGGCGCACAGGTGGACTAAGGAGTGCAAGGCTTGGACGGCTACGACCACGCTTTCGCGACGCGGCCACATCGTGTCGGACCCCCTGGCCCTGTTGGAGACGGAGGCCGCCCGGTTCTCAGATATGTGGTTGGCCGATAGGCAGCCAGATCGGAACCCCGATCCCCTGGACGTCCTTGATCCTTTGGAGGCTCTTACCCCGGATCAGATCCGCCAGGTATCTCGCAGCTATTCGACGCGCACTTGCATTTCTGTCGACGGCTTCCACATGCGCCACTTCGCCAGCACGTCGGACGATTGCCTGACAGCGTTCAGCATCATGATGCTGATTTGCGAGGCTACAGGGCTCCTGCCGTACCACATGCAAGTGCTCCAGATGGCCCTCCTTTCCAAGCCACAAGGGGGCTTTCGGCCAATCGGCCTCTTTAGCTCGTCTTACCATCTCTGGGGTAGGGCCCGTCGGAGATTGGCGTCCGCCTGGGAGCTGGAGAGTGCTAGAAGCTACCTGGCGGCTTCAACGTGCAATGGGGCTTCGGACGTGGTCTGGAGGCAGTCGGTCCGGAGCGAGTCTGGGGTCAAGCGCGGCCAGGCGGCTGCTACGTTGCTTTGGGATCTCCGGAAGTTCTACGAGAGCATGCAGTTGCCCCTCTTAGAACAGCGAGCCCATGCATCAGGCTTCCCGGCGCAGATTCTCCGCATGCGCCTTTGCGCGTACCGTGGAGCAAGGTTCCTCCCGATGTCTAATGTTTCCACTGGCCCTTTCTATGCCATCAATGGCGTGGTGGCAGGCTGCTCGATGGCCACTACGTTCGTGCGGATCTATGTCATTCCAGTGGTTGACCCACTCGAGCTCCCTAGGTCTTTGTTTCTGGGCATTTACATCGACGATTACGGTGTTTCGTCTACTGGGTCTGAGTCCTCGGTCTCCGTCGATTTGAAAGAAGGTGCTTCCAAGATCATGGTGGCCATCACTACAGATTTGCACGCGTCGGTGGCCGAAGAGAAGGCCTCGATCATTGCGTCCTCGAGTGCCCTTTGCAAACAGTTGCAATTTTTCCCGGAAAGGGCGCCGGCCCAGGGTTCTCTTTTAGTAGGTAAACCTGTCCCCCGGTGCCAACTTGAAGGAGGCCGGCGGATTTTTTCCCTGATAAATATCGAGGTCGAAGGAGGCCGGCAGATTAAAATTTGAGGATGTCTCGAGCGAAACGCTTGTTTTTGAAATCCCGATCGATAAATCACAGGGTGCGGGCCACTTTTTCGTGTGTTGAGGATGTCTCGAGCGAAACGCTTGCTCCGCAGAGTTTGCCGAGGATGTCTCGAGCGAAACGCTTGTTTTGCAGAGCCGACCGCGACGCGGAAAAGCGCCCCGCGCGAAGGAATTTCGATGATGTCTCGACTAATTCGTTTGTTTTTGTACGATTTCCTGGAATTTTGGCAGGATGTCTCGAGCGAAATGCACGACCCCACCCTAGCACGACCATACCCCAGCACGACCACACCCCAGCACGACCAGACCCCAGCACGACCCCACCCCACGAGCACGACCCATACCCCAGCACGACCACACCCCAGCACGACCCGACCCCAGCACGACCCTACCCCAGCAAGACCACACCCCAGCACGACCACACCCCAGCACGACCTCACCACAGCACGACACACCCCAGCACGACCACGCCCCAGCACGACCACGCCCCAGCACGACCACGCACGACCACCCCCCCAGCACGACCACCCCCCAGCACGACCACACCCCAGCACGACCACTCCCCAGCACGACCACACCCCAGCACGACCACACCCCAGCACGACCACACCCAGTCGCACCCCCGTGGAATGTTTCGTGGCGTGTCTGGTTGAGTGGTTGCCTGTTCGTGGGGTGTCTCGTGGAATGTTTCACGGGGTGTCTCGTGGAATGTTTCGTGAGGTGTCTCGTGGAATGTTTCGTGAGGTGTCTCGTGGGATGTTTCGCGGGGTGTCTCGTGGGATGTTTCGTGAGATGTCGCCCAGTTGGGTATCGTGAAAACATGACCATGCTGCACATGTCTTTATCCCTTTCCGGGTTCGTGGGTCCATCATGTTCTTCGGTCGATTTGCTGGAGGTCCTTCGGCACGCAGGGCTTCCAACCTAGGTGTAGACGACACGGCAGGTCGTTCGCTGAGGAATGGCACGAGGATGAAAGGTTCCAAAAAACAGGAACATCTTCGCACGCTTCGGGCCAGAGTTCGACGTTTCCAGGAGTGCAAGAGTGCTGTGGGAAAATGGTCTCGCAAGGTATGTATTGCGGGGCCCCTTGCAGGAGCGACCTCTGGCGCGGAGGTGCACGGCACCTCCGACTACGAGTTGTTACTACTCAGGCGTTCCTTCGGCAAGACGGTGAAGCCGTCGGCAGGTTCCCGCAGTCTCACCGCGCTGAGCATTTTGGAGCACGACCCGTGCTACTACGCTGCCATCGCCCCGATCCTCAGGTATGCAAAGGAGGTGTGGCTGACTGCCACCCGACAGTACCCGTACTCTTTGGGATTCTCGGAGCTCAGGGTTGCTTGGGAGGTGGCCTTTTCGGGCGAGCCGCTTCCGTGGAAGAAGGGCACGGACCCCCTGTCAGCGACCCGGGCTTCGCTGGAGCGCATAGGTTGGAGCATGGACTCGTTCACCAACATCGTCACGGATCAAAAGGTCGGGCTTTCTATGACCTCCACATCACCCAAGATGCTCAAAAAAATTCTTCGGGAAGGGGTCCGTCGGCATCTGCAGCGGCAGTCTGGGACTTTTTGGGCTCGGGGTTCGGGCGTGCTATGACATCGTGCTGAAAGAACTGAAGTCCCGTAGGTGGGGGCCTTTCGAGAAAGGTTACATCAGGTCATTCGTTTGCGGAGCGTGCTGGACAGGTACCAGAGCGGTCGAATGCGGTTACCTCCTGGACTCGTCGCTGTGACGCAAGTGCGGCGCTGCCCCGGACACCATGTTTCACCGTTTATGGCAATGCCAGGCCGTCAGTGCGCAGCGTTCCGAGATTGTGGATCAGTCCCTGATCGATCAGGCCCTGGCCCTTGGCCCAGAAGATTCCGATTGGTTGCTGTTCACCAAGGCCATATTCCCACACCCAGGTGACTACGTCCCCGCGCCCGTGGAGGAGGGAAGCATGCAGGTGGTTTGGGAAGGTGATCCCGATAACGTTTCCACGGATATCGAAGGCCACGTCTTCTTCGACGGCTCCGGGCTGAAAAGCCCGATTGCGGAGATGTCTCGAGCTGGCTGGGGGGCTTCTGTATATAACGAGGCCGGGGAACTCAAGTGCACCCTCTGTGGATCCGTTCCTCGCTTCCTCCCTCAGACTTCCCAGGCCGGTGACTTCTGCGGCCTCGGCGCCACCAATGAGCTCCTTAGCGGACCTTCGACAGGATACTCGGACTGCACCAACGTGGTCCAGGCTTTCAAGGCTCCTGTACCCCATCAGGTTTCATATAAGAGGCTCTATGCTGGTGCGCTTTTACATATGTCTCAGACAAGGTATCGAGATGTAATAAAAGTGAAAGCGCACGTGTCTGACACGGGCGACCTCTGCCAGAGCAACTGTTTTATAAGACTGGGAACGACGCTGCCGATATCGCGGCGAAGCGCGGTGCCTGGTCCCACCCGATGCCCTCTGCAGCTGAACTGGTCGAGATCGACCGCCTTGTGCTCATCGCTCGCAAGGTGTGCGCCATGGCGGCTCAACTTCTTCCTCTTTGGCCCCGCCTGAGCCTCGACGGGGTGCCGAGAGCCCCAGGCGAAGGCCGCCGGACAGCAGATGTGCCTGCGCAGTTGCATGAATGGTCATGGTGCCGCTCCTTTTGGAGATGCCAGCGCTGTCTGAAAGTCCGCCGCTCGGAACATAAGCCTCCGAGTGCTGGATGTTCTGGTGTTCTGCCCGAGGCCGCCCTGGAGATCGGGCGAATGCAGCACCAATTGAAAGTTTTTGATTGCAGCGACGGCACTCTGGTATATGCTTGTGAGAAGTGCAAGGCATATTCCACTGGCGGTCAGTTCAGAAACCTTCGTAAGAAGTGTTTGGGCAGGCCTGCCAGCAATTTTGCGATCTCGACCTGGTCCGGCCTCCTCAAGGGAAGGCACCCCAAGTTTCCCCAGGTCAAGGTCGAGCCTTTTTCTCTGTCGGCGTGAGTTGGCAGGAGCATCGCTGATGAAAAAAATCAAGAACAGCATCATCAACAACAGCATCATCAGCATCAGCAGCATTATCATCAGCAGCAGCATCATCAGACTCATCATCCATCGTACATCCTCTCTCATCTCTCCTCCTCCTCTCTCCTCAAACCTCCCTCCTCTCTCCTCTCTCCTCTCTCACATCTCCTCGATCCACTTTCATCTCTCCTCTCTCGTATCTCCTCTCTGAGCTCTCATCTAGCCTACCTCCTCTCTCCGCGATCCGCTCTGCTCTCTCCACTGTCTTCCCTCCTCTCTTCCCCTCTCTGGGCTCCTCTCTCCGCCCTCCTCTCTCCTCTCTGGTCGCGCGTCGCTCATCTCAGATCCTCGTCCGCCTCCTCCCCCTCTCTCAACTCTCATCTCGTCTGCCTCCTCTCTCCGCGATCCGCTATCCTCTCTCCACTGTCCTCCATCCTCTCTTCCCCTCTCTGGGTCCCTCGTCTCTCCTCGCTCCTCTCTCTTCGCGCGTCGCGCTTCGCTCATCCCGTATCATCGTCATACTCCTCCCCCTCCACCACCTCACCGTCATCATCATCATCATCATCATCAGCATCATCATCAGCATCATCAGCATCATCATCATCATCATCCTCCTCCTCATCATCATCATCATCAGCAGCAGCATCATCATCATCATCATCATCAGCGGAATCATGAGCGATATCATCATCATTCATCATTATCAGCAGCAGCATCATCATCACCATCATCAGCAGCATTCGCATCATCGGCCGGAGCATCATCATCACCATCATCCGCATAATCATCAGCATCATCATCATAATCAGCATCAGCATCATCAGCATCGTCAACATCATCAGCATCATTAGCACAATCATCATGATCATCATCAGCAGCATCATCATCATAATCAGCATCATCAACAGCAGCATCAACATCATCGTTATCGTCACCATCATCATCTGCAGCAGCATCATCATCAACATCAGCATCCGCATCAGCATCATCATCATCATCAGCATCAGCATCATCGTTATCATCAGCATCATCATCATCATCATCATCATCATCATCATCATCATCATCATCATCATCATCATGGTCATCATCATCATCATCATCATCATCATCATCATCATCATCATCATCATCATCATCGTCATCGTCATCATCATCAACAGCATCATCAACATCAACATCATCGTCGGCAACAACAGCAGCATTGCCATATCCGTCATCATCATCATCAGCGGCATCATCAGCATCACCACAATCATCATCATCAGCATCATCATCAGCGTCATCAGCATCATCCTCACCATAATCATCAACAGCATCAGTATCATCAGCATCATCAGTATCATCATCATCAGCATCATCACCATCATCATCACCAACGCCAGCATCAGCATCAGCATCATCATCATCATCAGCGGCATCATCACGTTCGTCAGTATCCACATCAGCATCATCACCATCAGCCTCATCATCATCATCATCAGAAGCATCAGTATCGTCAACATCAGCATCATCGAAATGAGCATCCGCATCATGATCATCA